AAGCTTCGAAGTGTGCGTTTGGGGTGCAAAAGGTTGAGTACCTGGGCCACATTGTCACACCCCACGGGGTTCAGGTGGATCAGAAGAAGATTCAGGCTATGGTCGAGTGGCCAACTCCGACCACTGTCTCGGAGCTGAGAGGGTTCCTTGGCTTGACCGGGTACTACCGGAAGTTTGTGCAGGGTTACAGTATGATCGCCCGACCCCTGACTAATCTGTTGAAGAAGGGCGGGTTCCCATGGACCTCAGACGCCGACGGGGCATTCCAGCAGCTGAAGCAGGCCATGACCACCACTCCGATGTTAGCCATGCCGGACTTTTCCTGGACCTTCGTGATTGAGGCGGATGCTTCTAGCCGAGGTATTGGGGCAGTGCTATCTCAGGATCGGCACTCGGTAGCCTATATGAGTAAGACCTTGGCTCCATCCAAGGAGGCTTGGTCTACTTACCAGAAGGAGATGCAGGCTATCATCACAGCAGTGCAGATGTGGCGGCCGTACCTTCTGGGCCATAAGTTCCACATTTACACCGACCATCAGAGCCTGAGGAACCTTTTGGAGTAGCGAGTTTCCACTCCCGATCAGCACAAGTGGGTCTCGAAGCACTTTGGGTATGATTATGAGATTCATTATCGGCCGTGTCCCTCCAACGTCGTGGCAGATGGGCTCTCGCGACGTTTCGGGGGCGAGATACTGGCAGCAGTGACGGGGCCGGTTCCCCAATTCTGGGACGCGCTTCGAGCTCTGGTGGAGACCGATACTTACCTGCAGAGATGTCGAGACACAGCAGTCAGTGAAGCACCGAGCCATTATTCCTTCCGTCAAGGGTTGGTTTTCTTCCGTGGGCGCCTTGTTCTTTCACGGGGATCTTCACTAGTGACGAACGTGCTGCAGGAGTATCATGACTCCCCCTTTGGAGGGCATTCGGGGTTCGAGTTTTATTGGCCCCAGATGGGCCAGGATGTGAAGGACTATGTCGCGTCGTGCGATACTTGCCAGAGGGTCAAGACGTCTCATCTGCGACCGGCATGCCTCTTGCAGCCCTTGCCGGTACCCGAGAGAGTGTGGGAGGACATCAGTATGGACTTCATCGTCGGCCTTCCCCCCTCCGGAGGAAAGACGGTCTTGTTCGTCGTCGTTGATCGACTGACGAAGTATGCCCATTTTATGGCCCTGGCACATCCGTACACAGCCCGGTCGGTAGCAGAGAAGTTTGTGATGGGGGTCGTGCGACATCACGGATTCCCGAGGTCTATTGTCAGTGACCGGGACTCCATTTTCTTGAGTCGCTTCTGGAAGGAAGTGTTCGCTATGGCCCAGACACACTGCGGATGAGTTCCACCTATCATCCACAGATAGATGGCCAGACGGAGGTGGTTAACCGTTACCTGGAACAGTACCTGCGCTGCTTTGCCCACCAGCAGCCGAGGCGGTGGTTGGCTCTGTTGCCCTGGGCCGAACTATGGTATAACTCTACTTACCATAGGGCTATTTAGACTACGCCATTTGAGGCCCTTTATGGAAGGCTGCCACCTTCCTTGGTCTGCTACCGGAATGGCACCAGCCGGGTAGATGCGGTGGACCGCTGGCTAGAGACACGAGATGAAGCCTTGGAGTAGCTCAAGGCCAACCTGGCGGCGGCCAATAACAAGATGAAGGCTGATGCAGGTCGGCGCGAGGAGGAATTCGAGGTCGGAGACTGGGTTTTGCTTCGTCTCCACCCGTACAGGCAGGCTTCCACCTTTCGCCGTGCTTACCAGAAGTTGGCAGCTCGTTACTTTGGTCCCTACGAGGTACTGCAGAAGATTAACCCGGTAGCAAACAGTCTGCAGCTGCCAGCGGATGCGCGCATCCTTCCCACCTTCCATGTGTCATTGCTGAAGCGATACCAAGGAGCGGCGGACCGAGTAGAGACTACCGCCCCGTCGGTGTCAGCGGATGGGGATCTTGAGCCAACCCCCTTGCAGGTTATGGATACCATATGGGTAAAGAAAGGCGAGCGCCAGACGGAGGAGAGATTGGTTTTGTGGCAGCATATGGAGAGGGAGGATGCCACCTGGGAGGAGACGGCAACGCTAAGGCAATAATTCCCGACCTTTGACCTTGAGGACAAGGTCATTTCTGATGGGGAAGGGGATGATAGAGACCCGCGAGGCGGGTAGGGTGGGTTGGGGTCAGCCATGTGGGTCGGGTTGAGTGGCAATTGGGTTATTTCTATTAGTTTTCTAAAACTCATAAAAGAGGATTTAGTACGTTCATTTGAGATTAAGCAATTAGAATATAAATAGCGCATAATTGGTATAAGAGGTCTAGTTGGAAGTGGGAAGGTCTGCTGTAAATTTTCTACGGACCACACGCATCATCGTCTGCTTCATCCTGACTCTCCATCTCGACCGTTAGTTTCCCATCAACCCATAGCCCCGTCTTTTCACTGATTCTCCCTACATCGATGCGATGGCGGCTTGGCAAGTCTCTGCGTTGCACCACACGGCCCAACGGCGGGAGAAGCATCCGTCCAGTGGTGATTTTTGGCGTCCGCCGAGATCTACTGTTGCTTACACTGGCTGTCCTTTGATAGCCAAGCAACACTCTTCCTTTCTCCTTTTTCTTATTCATTCAACGCTAATAGTTAATATCATGGGATTAAAGAAGGAGGGCTTTAATAGGAACACGGCCGAACCCGTCGATTTCATGGCGGTGGAACCCTAGCCCTTCATACCCTCTAGACCGATCCTCTGGCTATCCAAGGTAATCATCTAAAACCCTTTTGTCTGTTCCTAAATGAATTGCTTATCGGAAAATAATCCGCGACAAACACGATGATGACCCAGCTTTAGTTAATCGTGTGTGAACATACGTTAAAAGTATTGTCCTAATCCTTTATTCTACTCATACTTCATTCTACTGATACTCCCTTGATTGATTATTAGTTCGGTCCTCCTGCTATTTGGATTTTCAGTTACCAGTAATGTCTATACATATCACCATTTTGCAATTCTTTCTTTCTGGAATGTGCCAATTGAATGGTAGTTATTTGCTTGCATTGACCACCGCAGGCAAAAATTTAGCTGTTGCAACTTTTTACATACTAATTCAAGCTATTGTTGATATTTTGTCTGAATTTAATTCCAATGTTTATCCCCTGGAATCTCTATCATAGATGATGAGGCTGTCTCCCCTATTGGTATTGTTATGCTCTGTAAGTGATTATGCTTGGGCATTATATAGTTGTTTTCCTCTATAGCGATTTGAGTTATTTTCACCTACCAACGTATAAATATAATACAGGAATTGGAATGTTGAAGAAGTCACAAGGTGAAATAAGTAACGAAGTTTCTTATAATCAGTTGGATGTTGAACAAAAATAGCACCGGAAATTCAACCGAGGGGGAAGAATGTAAGTGGTCATGGATAACTTGGTGGAGTTCTCCTGTTGGTATTAAAACTCTTTGTATATTGCGTAGAGTATGAAGCCAATAGATATGTGTTTGATTGTTAAAATGCACTATGATAACATATGTGACAAGGTAAACAGAAGAAATCTGAGTATGTTCTTATCTGTTAGATCATATGTGGCATACATATGTGTCAGAAGCAATAAAAAAAACGTACACACTTGAGTTGGTGTTTGTGGCAGAGAGATTCAGATTTGAACTTTAACTATTTATGTCGTCTGAACTATGCAAAAAAATCTGTACGCGCTAAATCGTAAACTTTTTTACCGACTGTGCCATGTATATAATTCAAAAATCAACACATGAGAACACTTATTCATGGATCGATTGATGTCAAATATGCCTCTAACTAATATTACCCGCATTAGCAAACTAAGAATCATCAGGCTCTCAAGGTATCATACGAAATAATAACTTGAAGTTCAAGAAACAAGACATCACCAGAAAATTGGTTCTATAAATTGATTCGTGGGTTTTAAATTACAATCCTTTAAATCGGGATTGAACATATATTTATGTTCAGCGAAATCGACATACCCGCTGCAAAGCGGGCCATTTAGCTAGTCATAATATCAAAATCTCTAAATTCCTCTTCTCTATGTTCTTCCCCAATTCTTCAAATTCCTAATTCTTCTTCTCAATTCCCAACCCAATTCTTCTCTATCACACAACCATGAAAGAAGGCCTTGTTCAAGACTTGAGTGGTCATTTGGGCCAACTAGACCAACCATATATAGAAGATGATTAAAAACAAAGCTCATTTATTTCCTTTTGCTGAGCGATGTTATGTCACCAACTTTCTAGTATAGGAACCAAGCCCCAAAGCAATTACAATTCTTTTAGTTATGATGATTACAGATAAAATAAAATCCATTCGGGTCAATACAGCAGAAGACCACGATTGTGAAGTCAGCTGGTTCCGTGTTGATTCCTTCCTGCTGGACCTGTGGGGCTGCCTCCAAAGGTTCCCGGTAAAATCCCAAAGACAGTAGCAGCACGGTGTTACATCTGTTTACATAACCTGGTTCTGGAGATTCTTCTGTCCAACTATTGTCTTCCAGTTCGATTCTAGTACTATGTAGTCACGAGTGAGCCCTGTCTGCAATCATGCAGGTCCTACTTGTGAACCCAGACACTTTTTCCTGCCTATCCATTTCACTTTCGTCCTACTGATGTGCACCTTAAAGACTCATTCTCTTCAGAAAAACTACTGCAACATTTCTTGGATTTATCCACAGGACCACCAAAGAATTTCTGCCCAGGAAGAAGAATCCAGAGTCTTCCCATGGACCTTTCATACCCACCAACGAAAAGCATCAAAGACAGCAACTGTAATGGAATCTGTCAGTGGAGACCTTTCAGACCAAAATGGAGACAGAAGAACAGATCCGCAAGCACAGACCAATGCCCAAAGATGAGAAACTCAAGAGATCAGGGAACTTATATTTACAGACATGGTTCACCTGAGGAACAGAGAGGATATAATCAATCAACTTTCTATTCAATGCGGTGGGAAGATGAAGCACATATTAATATATTACTACATAACCAGTGAAGATCAACTCTCAACCATATATATATATATATACATAAGACTACAATCTAATAGCCGAGAAGTAGTAGGCTTTTTGCACTACTCAATTCACTATTGTTTCATTGCCAAATCAGAACTGAAGGCAGAATCGCAACTTCCACATTTCTGTTGGCTTGCATGGACAATGGGAGATCTTATATTCCCCAGATCATGATGAAGTTCTAATGAGACCGGGAGTCCAGTTCCTCCAATCAAGTCTGCCAAGCGATCTGTTCCTGAAGCTCTTCAACTCTCTCATATCCAAAACCTTCTTCAGATAGCTGTGTCTGCTGCTCTTGGTGAGCTCTGGGTCACCCTCTTTCGGGTTCTCTTCTACCTCTTTAACATTTTCGGATTCTGCCGGCTCTTCTTCGCATGGTGATATGTCACTGATGATGTTCCCCAACAACTCTACTACCTCGCTCATTCTAGGCCGGGACTTGGGCTGTTTGCTCAGACATTTGTTTGCTAAGGCTGAGACTTTCTGTGCCGATCTAAGGCAGTAGTTCCCTTCGAGCCGGGGGTCTACAATGAGATGGAACTTCCTAGAATCAGATACGTAAGGTCTTACCCACTCCAGAAGCTTTTGTTCTCCCCTTGGAAGGTTTCTCTCCATAACCCGCCTGCCCGTGATAAGCTCGTATAGAACTACTCCAAAGCTCCACACATCACTCTTTGCAGTCAGCCTCCCAGTCTGAACATACTCTGGAGCTGCATATCCAACTGTGCCAACAACCTTTGGGGAGGGGGGAAAGACAAAACAATCAATTTTAGGAAAAACTACAGTTGAAGGTCAAATTCCACCATGATTCCACAGATTTAAAATGACATACAAGCATTTATCAACCCCTGACCCTCAAAATGTCTAATTGAGAACCCCGGATAAGTTGAGTTCCAATATAACAGGCTGCTTGACAGACTTAAAACACTTGGTGCTACGGGTCGCAGTTCAAAACTCAGAAATGCCACTGATTCACAGTAATCTCAATCTTATAATCCAGGAGATCAAGCTGTGGCCAGGTAAAACAACTTACCGATGTTGAAACATGGCTGAGACCTTCAGGGGGACCCTGTCTAGCTAGACCAAAGTCTGAGAGCTTGGCATTGAAATCTTCATCTAGTAGGATGTTTGACGCTTTGAAATCTCGAAATATAAGCTGCAACGTAGAAGATCGAACCATTAACACAAAGCAAAATGGAGAAGCTTAATCGAGGAAGAATCAGAAGTGCAGAGCCGGAGAAAATAAAAGGCTGAAAAGGAGACCTGAAAATCCATTTCCTCGTGTAGGTAAGCTAATCCGCGGGCTGCATCTTGGGCAATCTTCAATCTAGTGATCAAGGGGAGAGGCGACGCGACTCGGGCCAAGAGATGATCTTCCAAGCTCTTGTTGCGCATGAGCTCGTAGACCAAAAGCCGCTGCATCCCTCTTTCATCGTCTTCAGCGCAATAACCCACCAGCTTCACTAGATTAGGATGATCCACCACGCCCAGGAAATTCACTTCATTGATCCATTCCTTGTGCCCCTGAAATACTAGAAATGCAAACACACAGAGCAATGCCCATAAGATCCCCCAATTCATTCGCATAATTGACCCACGCTACATTGGGAACCAATTTCTCAAAAAGGGGGAGAAAAAAGGTGAAGAAAACAAGGGGCATGCCTGGAAACCATGACGATTCAACTGTTTGATAGCAACATCCATGAGCTCGGCCTCGCCATCGTCGTCGTCGCCGACGCAGGGAACCCTAACGACGCCGCGATAAACACAGCCGAAGCCGCCTTCCCCAACCAAGAGCGACCTGTTGAACCCTTTGGTGGCCAATTTGAGCTCGGCGAAGGAGAAGACGTGCAAATCGTTGGCTCGCCGCTGGGAGAGGAAATCGTAGAAGGCGACCGATTCCGACAAATCCCTGGACGAGTAGCAGTACAAGTCAGACCCTCTCCTGGTGTCGACGTTACCGGAGGCGACGCTCAGCGACCTGGCCCACGACACCCTGGAGGTCCTGGAAGAAGCGACGCCGCTCCCGCTGCCACTGCCACTTCCCTCGCCTTCGTTGTCGCCGCCGCCTACCCCGCCGCGCCTCTCCCCGTTGGAGAAGTGGAAGCACTTCATGGTCTCATTCAGAAACAAGGGTAAGGGGAGAAGAGGGTCAAAAATTGGAGGAGGACAAATGGGCCGGTGAAGAATGGATAAAGAAATGGAGTGGGTGGGTGGGGAAGTTAAGAAGATAAAAAGAAAGGGATCACGCGGCGGCGTGGCGTGGATTGGTTAGTTAATGTTTGGGGGTGGGGGCGGAGGTTCGACGGAGGAACCGGCGACGGCGGAGGAGGAGGAGGAGGGAGAGAGGGAAAGGGAAAGTGGGGGAGATGTCAGAGGAGATCACGAGGGAGAGTGGAGTTATTTTAGTGGTGGTGGTGGTGGTGGAGAGAAGTCTCTGAGCAGCGGCATAAATGGTTACGAATTGGATTCCTGAGGAGACGGTATTTCTTTGCGTTTGGTTTCTACTAGCTTAGCTGAATGTGGACGATGTCAACACAAAGGAAAGCCAACCTGACGGAAGAAGAATCATCAATTCATCATCACTGCCGCAGGTCTGGTCATTCCTGGCTCCTGGTTCTGGTTGTATCCTAATTATTTTAGTTGAGATTTTCATTTTTGGCATTTTATTAATTAATTTTCTTATTCTAAATCATCATATGGTGTTTCTTTCTTTGACGGCTATTCGAATTCATCAATTTGATTTGTAAATTAAAGGGTTGACTTATATTTACCAATAGTATCTGGTAAGTAGGGATGACAACACAACCCGCATGATTATATTCTTGCTTCTAATTCTAAGCCTGATTCGAGTTCAATTGTACATATTTTACCCTGATTTTTTTATAGTTTAGCTTTACATTTCATCGTCGTTCGACATATTTCACGCTAGATTGTGCTTGTTTTGATAAATTTCAGGTCCTAGCACGTGTGGAAGGGTCAAGGACGAGTTTCGGGACGATCGGAGGTTGAAAAGCGCAGAAACCAAAGAAAAGTCCAAAGCCCGTTACCGTGAAGCACTGGCTCCCAGGAAAGCAACCACAATTCACGGTCCAAGCAGTGAGTTCACGATCGTCAGGACCGTGAACTGGAACCACAAACCGTGAATCGCAGAGCGTCCAGAGGAGTTTTAGAGGTTACTGACGCCGAGGCAATTCACGGTTGTAAGACCGTGAACCGGAACCATGGATCGTGAACTCCATAAGTGAAGCGGCGCGTTTTGATATGTGTTCACGGTCCCAACCTGATATTCACGGCAGTGAACTGGGACCGTGAACTGGGCGCGACTGGGTACAAATAGAGAGCTGAAGCCTGAAAGGAGAAAGAAGGAGAGCTTTTTCTAGGGTTTTAATTTTCAGAATAAAGGGGGTTTTCTAGTGAGAGATTAGGGTTTCATTTTCCCATTCTAGAGAGAGAAAGGACAATTCAAAAGAGAAAGAAGGAGATTGGGCTGAATTCAAGCCAGAGGATTGAAGATCTCTTCTTCTCAAGGGAGATTCAAGCAAGAAGGAAATAAGATTTTCATCTCTCCATGGTTCTTTCTCTCCTTTTTGTTGTTTTCCTTTGCCTAGCTATGGATTAGCCTTCATACTCACTCGGGTATTATGAAACCTAGTTTAGATGTGTGTTAGGATGTAAGAACTTGATTCTATCGTGTTGATTGTGTGTTTTATATAATATTTGAGATATTAATCATGAATGATTGGGTGTTGCTTGCATTATCTCATTATTGGGTCAAATTAAACTAAAAGGTGGAAATCCCCCTTTGGTCCATAGGGAGCTTGATCTCCTAGTCACTTGGGTAACCCCTTTTGGGTTAATCGAGGGCCGAAACCGCAAGTATCGGAGTAGTACCATGATCCCATCATGGTTGGTCGCTCTCTGCCGTCCCGATTAACTTCCGAGGGTTGGGTCTTGCAACCCTTAGCTGATTAGTTAAGAGGGCTAGATCATCTAGCCTATTGTTGTCATCCTTAACCGAAAGGTTAAGAGAGTTAGTCTACTAAATTAATGCAACAATCCTTAATTGGTCAACTAAAAGAGTTGGGTTTCCTCGGTTTGTTTGATTAAGAGAGTTATGCCTCCTAGCTTATTGTTGCAATCCTTAGCCAAGCGGTTAAGAGAGCTAGGTTCGCTAGCTTATTGTAGCAATTCATGATTTATCGACTAGGAGGGCTCATTCCTAGCTTGTTGCACCCGCCTCGCGGTATATAAACATACCCTTCACACTAGAGTTTCGTTCATTGATCCTTAGCATGAGACTAGGGGGAGCAATGGCCAGGTGAGATCCTCTCATATAGAATTTCCCTCGATTTTGTTTACTTGGTTGTTCATTTTATAGTTTTCTTAGTGTTTGTGCCTGGAATGTTCCAGGCGTTTGATGAAGAACGAGTAAGGTGTCTGTTCCGGAAGGTGGGTGTACTCCAAGCTCCTGCAAAACAAGGGTCCGTGGGCGGTCACCCCGGACACCCTCCGATGCTAAAGTTAGAGAGAGAAGAGAAAGATTTGTGTTTATGTTTAGAGAGAGAGAGAGAGAGAGAGTAGTTGAGTTACCATCAATGCAGATATGAATGTATTTGTAACATCCCGTTACGGCAAAACTCATATTTCGATCGCTAGAAAGTTCGCGATTTAAAATCGAGCATTTCGACACTATTTCGACGAAAATCGGATTATCGATCGATCGGATAAGTATACGTATTAATTATATATATATATAATATAATATACATATATAATTAATACGTATACTTATCCGATCGATCGATAATCCGATTTTCGTCGAAATAGTGTCGAAATGCTCGATTTTAAATCGCGAACTTTCTAGCGATCGAAATATGAGTTTTGCCGTAACGGGATGTTACAGTATTTATAGTAGGCTAACCTGGGTTTTGAGCATTAAGTGCCATGTCAGGCATCCTAGACAAGCCTTGCTTTATCTAGACCGCCTGCGGCGAGGAATTAATGCCCAGTCCTGCCGTGTTCGAGGCGAGTATCCTAGGAAGATCCTCTCTCCCTGTCACCAACGGCTCTTTGTGTCAGACGGCCTACTCCCTGTCCCATCGTAGAGTGGTCGCCTGCCATCCTCCTTTCCCTATGTCCGCTCCTTCCCTGGGCCCCTTGCTGGGCCTCGCCTTAGTTTCTCTTTCGGGCCTTGCCTGACTAACTCCCTATGGGCTCTAAACCCAACACTGCTCAACTATGGGCTCAACAATTTCCCTTTAGTCGTGAAAAGCTGCGGGTTTTGGCGGCTACTGACTTTGCCAGTAATAGTTGAGCGGTCCTCCTTGCATCCGCTACCTACCCTTTGCCCCTGGCCGCCACAGAGACGGGGGTTTTCCGGTCGCTGTCCAGGTAATCCTTCCTCTCTGTACCACCCGATATGCCCTTCTCTTTCCTCATTCCCGCTTTGGGTCTTCCCTAGCTGCTTGGTACGTGCGAGCGGTTGCGCTGTCCACCCCCCTCTTTAGTTCATGAGTAGCCTGATGCAGTTTGTCACGACAACCATAATTTCTTTCTTCCTGGTCGTATGGTGATTGTGAGCGGTTCCGCTGTCCACCCCTTTTTTAGGTCGCGAATACCCTGATGCGGTTCGCCACGAATGCCCTTTGGGCATCTACCCTTCTATTCTTTGATGCTACCACTTTTTTCGCGTCCCATGCGGTTCGCCCTGAATCGCCTCTGCCGATTCAACTTCCGTGACTCGTCCCACAGCATGCATGCTGCGCCACGTGTCGATTCTCGAGACTTGAGCTCTAACAATGGGCAGCCCTCACGTCCAATCACCTGCCCGCTTTTTTGAATTTCTGAGACTAAGGTTTTGTCTCGGTCACCCAACCGTCGCTTCGCTACCCCCTCCTTCTTCCTATTTATATCCGCTCCTCCTCCCTCTTTTGCAAACACTCTGTCTCGCTTTCTCCTGCTCTAGCCAAAATTGCGCGTTGCTCTCGGTTTTCCCTCTCTTCCTACTTGCGAGATAACTCCTCCTTATCTCCGTCACGAGCAAATTTCCTCGCCAAACTCAGACGAACTCAGAAACGAGCCAAAAGTAAACGACGATAATAAATGGCGATTGAATCCCAAAGCACTACTCGCGCCGATAGCCAAAACCAGAACCTCTCCGGCGATATCGCCACCGTCGTGACCTCCACCGACGCTGTTGCCGCTACAACCTCCAGTGACGCTCGGGCTTCCAGCGCGGGCGTTAGTGTTCCCCGTTCTTCTACAAAGTCCGTGGCGGCTCTGGCGGACCGCTATCCGGAAGCCGGCAGGCTATACCAATGCAGTAAAAAGCGTGATTCTACCTAGAAGCGGTTGGATGATCTAGAAGCGTAAAATGGTAAGCTTTTAAGTTTTAAAAAGTAGATTTTGACTACATTTGTAAGGAAAAATCACGATTTTACATAGAAGCGTTTTGGTGACCTAAAGAGGTAAAAGCGTAAGCTTTTAAGTTTTAAAGCGCGATTTTGACTGCATTGGGCTATACCAGGTATTTTGCGTCCCCCTCCTTTTTCTTTAATGCGGTCGTTCTTAGTTTAGGTTTTAGAACTGATAAAGTAGATTTCAACACGCGCGGTCTGTTTAGCAAGGGCTATTTAGCAAACACTTAGGCGGTCTTTATTATGACCTTTTAGGTGTAGAACTTGATCCTGCTCTTGTCGCATTCACGTCTGCTGGATGGCGGGGAGCATCCTCAACGGTTGGCGATAACCTTGGGGATTTCAGCTACTCTAAGGCGGAGAGTGAACCGCCTAGCACCGCACCCTTTGTTGCTCTCTCTTCTGACAGTGGGTCTAGAGACCGCCCTGAGGCTGATGAGAGGGAGTTATCACCGTCGCTGACAGTATCCGACGTGCTGTCCTTTGAAGCATTCCAAGTTCTCCACGACATCGCCTACCGTGTTAGGCTGCATAAGGACATGTGGGAGGGGGAGGCGGTCCCGTCGAGTGCGTACGAACAAGGACCGCCTAATGAGGCTGCTTACAAGCCTCATCAGGTTCTCCGTCAGCTGAAGACGCACGATCTCCCTACTGACTGGGACTATGCAACTCCCTCTCCTGCTGGGTGGTCTGGCT